AGCTTGATTTTCTTCGATGAAGCACTTTTTGTGGTAACCTTATCTTTAATTATTTTATTCGGATTAAACCTTTTTCTTGATCTACACAAATAAATCCTTCCACTTTGTCGGTCTTCTCTCGAAACTTTGCTTACTTTCGGCATTTTTGTACAGAAAATTTTTTGAGAAAATTCTAAAATGACAAGCGCACGGTCGAACGTACAACGAAGTACGAACGTACGACGTTTCTTGCTTTAAAATATTGTAGTGTATAGTATACGTACAAATATAAAATATATCTTTATGGCTTTAGTTACCTGCCTTTATTAAATAAAATATTTCTAAAACTAGATTGGGTTTGGACAATAGTAATGAATAAACTGTTCGACAGCTGCACTGCTATTCCGAACGACCGTAGCTGTTAGAGTTAGAGCGTGAAAGGCCCCGAGACTAATTTGACAATAACTTCAAGAATATTGCTTAGATCGGATTTAAATTTTAAGGACATATTCGTCAAATGTTAAACAATAAGATAAGTCAAAAAAAATCGATTTTTCGAAAGTGAAAACCCTTACCCCGCTCTTAACGATACGGATCTACGCTCTTTTGGAGACCTCACCTCATCCTCTCCAAATGTATACTTCTTTTCTGCTCGACGTAGGCGGAAAGCGACAACTCCGTTTTGCACAGCGGGCGGAAAGTTGACACTTTCCGCACGGAGTGGTGAAATTAGATTTTGTATTACTCATGCGGGGAAAGTACTATCTTTTCGATCGCTAGTGGGGTCGAAAAGACGCTGTTTAAATACTTTACAATAACAACACGCGTTTTGAGTAAAATAAATGTCAATTTGACTGCGGAAAGTTTATTTGTCGCACCCAAATTTTACTTACCGCACGAAAATTGACGATAAAAAGAATACAATCAAAGTGTTAATATTGTAGGCGATAAGATTAATATGTAGTTCTTTCTGTATTTTATTTCTTCTTTAAAAAGGCTATCTTAGACGATAAGATTAATATTTAGTTCTTCATTTATTTTATTTCCTCTTTGAATACGCTTTCGATCTTGGTGAAAGGAAACTCCACTCGGAAATTAGGGGGACACGATATTCCGTTGTTTAAAAAAAACTAAGTTCCGTTATGTAATAGATATTTTCGATACATGTGTGCAAAGTGAGGCATTCCAGGGCTAAACAATTGAAACACGAGCCAAAGAAACGGCGCGATTGCAACGGGGCCGAGTACGCAGATTACCCCCACGAGCCGTTAGGCGAGTGGTGGTAAGCGTACTCGGTCTCGTCGTAAACACCTTGTTTCTTCTGGCGAGTGTCTTAATTAAGCCCTGTGAATGTCTCAGTTAGGACACATATATCGAACAATATTTTTTGTAACGACTGCTTTCAAAGTTCAATAGAGAGAATTTATTCATTTACAAAGAAATGTTTTAATTAGTTTAACTATATTAGTTATCAAAAAATTTTAATCAATCCATAATAGGGTTACATTTTAAATAAAGTTGTCATGTGTAACATTTTTAGCAGCAGATACTAGGTCTGGAGGCGTACAAGGTCTCGTTAATTCATTCATTGTTTACGTAGATTTTTAACAACTTTTTTTTTTAATTTTAATTAAAGTGATAGATAATTTTCATTCCCGCACGGTCAATCGGTTGGAAAGTACTACTTTCCCTCACGCTACTATAGTAACAACCATAGTTACTACATAGTTACCACTATCACGGGAATATGCGACTTTACGGTTGCTAGACAAGGCTAAAAAATTGAACTTTGAAAGCAGGAGTTACAAAAATAAATTTATTTAAAATTTTTTAACTTTTTCAGTATTGTTTTGTGGAGAGGGGGGCTCCGCCCACCCCATCCCCCGCCGGGGCTCTGCCCCTAGACCCCAATTATGTACCAAATATGTCCCCGCATTCGTAATAAAAAATAGTATATAAAACTAGTGCGCAATTGTCGATTTCCCACTCGAGCGAATGAGTTCTAGTGCGTAATCGACAACTTTACGCACTAGTTGCATAATATACTATTTGTAGTATTTTTCAAGTTAATAATCGATTAAGTACACTAATGGATAACATAATTTTTTTTAAAAATATAATATAATGTAAAGAAGAAATTGAAGATTAAGAGGAAGTGTTTAAAAAAGGGATAGACAATAATTCCCAATTTCTTCTATTCCTAATTTAAAACTTAAATATACGCGCCCAAAGATATAATAGCAATATGGCTAATAGGTTAAAACAATAGAGGGATACGAAGCGTATCCGGTGTAGTCAGTCGATATAGATCAGTCGATAAGCGCGGACGTAGAAAGAGAAACAACATAATTGACTATTGTTGATTATTGTTAATTATACTATTTTATATCAATTATAAAGTATAATAAAAGTAGAATTGTAACACTATTGCAATTAATATAATATAAAACCTGCTGAACCCTCTGCATATTTTCTCAATACTAGGAGTAAATTTAACACCCTCAATCTTAGCTATGATGACCTCGAGGTCACGCTCGACCTTCCTGATCGCCAGCAACAGGTCCTGCCCAGAAGCCAGAAGATCCGTATCGTCCGCATAACTAACGATAAGAGAACCCCCTGGTAGTGCGGCTCGGAGGACACTATGAGTAAATTTAACACCCTCAATCTTAGCTATGATGACCTCGAGGTCACGCTCGACCTTCCTGATCGCCAGCAACAGGTCCTGCCCAGAAGCCAGANATATATGCGGCATCCACTCGACGACCTGTGGGTACGAGCGCCGCATATACGCGGCATCCACGCCATAACGTTCGGCGAGTCTCCATTCAGTTTCGGTACATCGGCGGACGGGACTGCCGTAGCGAAAGGGTTAAAGTTCAAGCTCGGCGCGTGGCAGGATGTTGTTTATGTCAGAGCATTGTTCCGCGTGTGGTAAGATGTTATCAGCTTGTATTCGTCAAAGAACACTCCTATCGATGAATTACCAATTATTTATGTATTCTAATACACCCTACTTATATTACAGCAAAATTTCACCCTCGCAGTAATTATTGCGCATGAGCAATAAAATATTTACATTAAAATGCAAAAAATGTTAAAATCAGAACGTTATAATCTTAAATTGTATTAATTAGGCGAATTATTACCATTTCACACATGCACAATGTTCGGAAAGTCATATAAACAAGATGCAATAAAAGAATTTTGACAAAGGCAGTGATCCCATTCGTACGATAACGTACGATAATTTGAGGCCTTGTACGATCCAAAATTCAGCCTGTACGATCCAATTTGGAATTTCGAAAACTTGATGACCTTTGTTTTTGTTAGTCATCAAATTTTGCAAAGGTGCACCCCCACCACCACCACCACTATCCGTGTACGATCTCTGTACGAACAAGTCTTACTCCCTGCGGTACGCTATTTTTACCGTTTTTACGATAGGGTTTTGATCAAATTTTCCGGTGTGTACGATAATTGTACGCCCCTGTAGGAGGGACGCGCCAAAGAATTTTGGGGGACGTGATTGCGCGCGAATGAATCAAACATTTTAAATAGTATAAAAGTTGACACTACTATTATCACATATAGTAATAGTGAATAGTGTAGGAGGTAAAGTGGTGAATTGGTTTGAAAAAATTATGAAATAATGAATTGCATCAAATACAGAAAAAAAATGAACCATATTTAATGATAATTAAAAAATTTATATTAAAATAGAATAGGTTACACAAAAAAATTATTATAAATTCAAAAAGAAAGATTTAATTAAGTTTAATTTGATAAAAGGCATTACAGTATTTTGAAATTTCAAAACAACTTGTAAGAATTTATACAATTTTGATAAATACAATTATCTACTATATATATTATATTTACAATTATTTTAATCATTCGTACAATTTGTTTTTAATTTCCAATATTAATAAATCAGTTAGGATTCCTGGGTATTATGGCAGGATTCTACTTTAGTCGCTCGAAAAAATAGGTATTTTTGTCAATTTTTTATTAGAAAACTAAGAAAGATATTGATGTAGGGTTTGATGTGCTTCATAAATATACTCTCAAAGTACATTAAAAAACTTTTTTAATTTATTTTATACGCTCTATATACATTGGAAAGGCCCTCGAACTGAACGCCTAAAAATAGTCTAGCCTTTGCGGTGTTGTAAAAATCTTGACATCGGATTATCAGAAATGAAAAACTCGAATAGTTCTATATTCACAAAGACTACAGCAACCGGTGGTAGCAGATTTTTTCATTTACAAGCAAAAATAACAAAATGGCGTCAGTTGAAAAAAAATTATCAAAAAAATCTCTTTTTTTTTCTCATTTTTTGTCAAAAAAAAATAGTTAAAATGAAAATTTTTTTATAAATCTGCTACCACCGGTTGATATATGTGTATAGATTATGTGGTAAAAATTTCAGACGAATCGAATAGCTAGTTTTGGAGATTTTTACAACACGCGGTTCAAAAATGTGATTCCGAGAAAAACGCATTTAAAGTTTTTTTAAATACTTTTTTTACCCGCGCACGGGTAGATTCGAGGGACGAAAAAGTACAGTTAGGATGCTCTGATCGTTTTGAAATTTTCAGAGAGTATTCTTAAATATATTTACTTACGAATAATCGAAAAAAAAAAATTTGAAAAAAAGAAAAAATTACAAAGTAGAATCCTACCTTATATCTTCATAACTAACCACAGCCGTTATTTATACATACTAAAGATAAACATGGCTGCGCGTTGCATCGGAAGCAGTCCCCAAAAATTTTCAGCCAATAGCAACCCCAGCAATATGTATGGCGCGTCCCTTCTACAGGGTCTCTAATTAAACATAGGGATCTTATAGGAGGGATACGCCATGTACATTGCTGGGGGACCGGAACTCGATTTTGCGCGCGAATGATTCAAACATTGAAATAATTATGAAATAATGAATTGCATCAAATACAGAAAAAAAATGAACTATATTTAATGATAATTAAAAATTTATATTAAAATAGAATAGGTTACACGAAAAAATTATTATAAATTCAAGTGGTCCCCCAAAATTTTCAGCCAATGGCACATCCCTCCTACAGGATCCCTAATTAAACAGAGGGTGTAGTGACATCTATGAACAATCAACTTCTATGTTCAGGAGATCCTGAAATTGAGTTAATGTAAAACTTGTTGAAATGAAAACATTTCCCAATATATTTAGGTTAAATTATAAAAAATTAATGTAATGTAACTCATTTTTTATATGATAAAAATAAATGTATCTTAAACAATATTATAATTACTTCTTCTTCAAACATGATTATTATATTTACCTTTAAACATATTATTGTCTAGAATTTTTTTTCTCACTACAGCTGCATTCTATTTACACAATAAAATACATGGGGGTATTTCTATAAAAAAGACATGAGTTCTTACAAATATATAAAGTTTTCTGATCTTAGTCGATTCCCAGTAATATTTTCAAATTCCCAGTAAGAWGTACATTAATAAATTTAGTACATATTAAGAACTGCATATTAGAATGTATTTGCCATTTGTTTTCTCAATTTGTGATAACTAGGATGCATTCCTTCTGAAATTCAATTGACAGGATAGAACTAAGTATGGTTTTTTCCAACTGTAAGTATAATGAGGGTAGTATCTTCAAAAATCTTTCATGGTTGCAGTATTGTTAGATTCTTCTTATAGTTGTTAAAAGTAATGCGTAGTGTCTTGCAGTCAAACGATTTAACATCTCTGTTGAAAAAAAAAATCACTATATTAATGCTATGAAGAAATATTTCTTAAGAGTGATATAATATTCGTTTTCTATAAATACCAGTTTATTACATTTACCTTTTTACAATTTATGATTTTAATTATTTCTTGACACTGCTGCTGCATTCTATTTGCATAATAATTCACATTGAATCTCTACAAAGAAGATATTAATTAACAAATACATAAATTTTTCTTGTCAGTCAATGAAAAAATAATATCTTCTATTACCGTGTACAAAACTTTGTAAAAGATATTCTTCTAAAATAGAGTTCCCTTATATAATGTATTTGCCTTTTGTTTTCTTAATTTGTGATAACTAGGATGCATTTCTTCTGGTATTATTTTGATAGGATAATACTGCATATGGTTTCTTCCAAATATAAGTATAATAAGATCAGTGCAATCAAAAATCTTTCATAGTTGCAGTACTGTTAGATTCTTCTTATCAATCTTGATAATAATGAGTAGAAACTTCTAGTCAAATTATTTCCCTCCCCTGTGGAATGAATCAGTTTATCAATCAGTTTGATATAGGTTTGTTTTTTAAAAATACAAGATTGCAATGCTTACCTTTCGACAGATTCTTGTCGTGATTATTCTTTGTTACTGCAACTGCATTCTATTTACATAATATTATAGAATAAAACTCTTGTTCGGATAACATAATCAATACAAATCTTCTAATCGTTAGCCGTAAGAAAATGAAATACATATCTCCATTGATTGAATGGTGTAATGAATTCTTCTTTTCGTGAGTATAATGTTCTTGGATTGGAATTAAAAATATAGATCTGCATGTTGACCTAAAAATATTTTAAAAAGTAGTTTATATATATATATATATATATATATATCAAAATAAGTTTGAAGAGAGAAAATGTTTAGATAATGCATAAAGTTAAAAGACAAAATAATCCATATATTTTAATAATTAGTAGAATTTCGTATAACAAAATATATACTTTACTTACTAGTATTTGTTATAATAATTTGATAAAAAGAACGTCTGGAATTCATCTGTATTTTCGGATTTAATTAAGAAAATTACTTTTCTTAGGTTATGACATAACATTGTCCCACAGCACTTTATCCGGTTTAATTATTTTCATCCAGAATTGGCGATCACTAAATAAAGAATATAAAACGAATTATTATAAATAAAAAATATTATTCACTTGATTATTGCATCACTAAGGATTTTTTTAATTAAATGCTTTACACTGCACATAGTCTGTATTTACGGTATTCAGAGTACATTGACAGGTAGCCATCTTGATTTTATCCTAGTGATGTTTTATCTTTTTTCTAGATGGCGAAACATATTCTACAAGTCGGTAAGACATAGTAACATTTACTTCCGCTAGATGGCTGCATAATTTTACTAGTCGGTTCAATGAAATAATAGCTAGTACCGCTAGATGACGATACACATTGTACCAGTGTAGAGGGTTTCTCTATAGTAAAGATAATATTAGACTGAATTTTTGTTTTATGATTTTTATTGTTAGGATGCGACTTGCTTTTCTTTCTTGTACACTTCTCAACGGCTACGCACAGACTGTCCTAGTCTGGTGACCACTACTTGTTAGCGTGGTTCCCTAGCCTTCTAGTAACTTAGATACCGCTACACCAGCCGGTAATAAAATATAGATTACTCACAATATGTTTTTATTATTTGATTAAAAATAAATGTAACCCAAATCAATTTTTATATAATAAAAGTAAGTGTATTCTAATAGTATTATAATATTTACCTCTTCTTCTAACAAAATTATTATATTTGCCTCTAAACATATTATTGTCTAGATTATTTTTAGTCAGAACAGCTGTATTCTATTCGCATAAGAATTTACATGGAATTCTTTACAAAGAAGATATTAATTTATATAAATACATAAATTTTTCTTGGCAATCGATGAACAATAACATCTTCTATTATCGTTTAGAAAACCTGGTAATAGATTTTGTATAAGAACAGAGTTTCCTAATATAATGCATTTGCCATTTGTTTTCTTAATTTGTGATAACTAGGATGCATTCCTTCTGCTAATCTTCTTATAGCTTACTACATAGCTCTACATGAATTGCTTTGTTGCTACATTTTTTACTATTTGTGTATTAAAACAAGATAAAAACAAATTATAAATTCTGTTTTCTTTTTTTGATTTAGAAGTATTCCTATAACGTAATCTACTGTGTTGATCTTACAATTAAATAATACATTCAATTTCTAATAGGACTTCTTATACAGCTTTTATAGTTGATTAAAAGAAATATTAATGTTTAATATCATGTTTTATACTTAACGAATTTTATACAATCTTCAAAATTTTTCATGTTATTCACATTAGATATATAAGATAATACAGGTCTTTGCAAATGCAGCGCTTCCTACATAGTCAATGTTATTATCGATTATTTGCGTCATAAGCGCCATCTTGAGTTCTAGTTAACCTCTTATGCAGGCAGTGATCCCATTCGTGCGATAATTATCGTACGCGTCACATAATTTGAAGCATTGTACGATCCAAAATTTAGCTTGTACGATCCAAAATTCAGCTTGTATGTAAGTAACGATAATTCGAAATTTCGAGAAGTCTTGATTTGGTTTTTGTTTCGCGATTCGGTTGTCGGTTGCAGCGCACCCTAGCACACAGTTTGACTATTTTTTTGTGACTAGAGCCAGGTAACAATTAAAAATAGCTCGGAAACCAATCAAAAGCCGGGAAAAACCTGAAAAATAGAAAATAGGAAAAAGAAAGATACGAAAAAGGACTTAAGGACCTAAAAAAAAAAAAGTTGGTACTTTTACTCTTTTTGCAGATTTGAAAATCTGAAATCTAAAAATTCTGCAAATGTGGAAGAGAAAAAAATGAAATCTTCAGAAAATCAGAAGTGTCAAATCCAAAATTCCTAAAATTCCAAATTTTTTCCTGTGCGTACGATAATTTTTCTATGTGTACGATAAATTACGGCCCTGTGTCGATCAGACAAGCTAAAGTCTCTGGGATCACTGTATGCAGGCTAACAGTAGCACGTAAACGAAGTAACAATACTAATAATTGTTAACGAGTGTTATTTAGAATAAGTTCCATATATATATATATAGTGATTGATTATAATTATTGTGGAAGTCATTATGGAGCCCCAAGATATTTATTACAATATTGCTGAATACGTCGAGACGGTAATTGGTTGTCAATTGAAATGATTTTACAAGTACATAACCTTTCTGATGTTTATGTTACAGGCATCAGGAAATAAAGTGAGTAGACAGACTGTTCTTTGTGGATCGCAAAATATAGTGTTACATGGGAAGGTAATAGTGCAATCAGATGCCATAATCAGAGGGGATTTAGCAAATGTAAAGGTTGGTCGGTATTGTATTATAAGCAAGAACGCTGTGATACGACCACCTTTCAAAAAATTTAGTAGGGGGTTTGTACATTTTTGTACTTCTCATGTGTCAGTGTTATGTCAATTGTACTCATAATTATGAAATTGGTCTATGTCAAAATTTAAAAAAATGTGTATATCAGTTATTTCACACCACATTATTTTAAACTAAATTAATTAAATGTAATTTTCACGATATTGTCATAAATTAATCGTTAGATAGTGTTTATTATTTCAATATTATATAAAATTCATTTAGTATTCGAATGTAATGCTTTAAATATTTCGAAACAATAGATATATGTCTTATACCACTTTCATAATTATGGGTACAATTATAGATTGTTGTATATTTAAAGGATTATTTTTGTTGGATAGGGTAGCCTTCTTTCCGTTAACTATGGGTGATCATGTATTTGTCGGAGAAAGAGCTGTTGTCAATGCTGCTCTTGTCGGTTCATATGTATACATTGGAAAAAATGCAGTAATAGTACGTATTAGATTGATACTTGGTAGAAAGTAATTAAAGTTAATCGATAATCTTTATATCAATAATTTATATTAAATAGGGGAGACGTTCAATATTAAAGGATTGTTGTTACATTGAGGATGATGCAGTAGTACCACCAGAAACAATAGTTCCATCTTTTACTAGATTTTCTGGAAGTCCTGCTGTATGTATAGAGGACTTACCTGAATGTACTCTAGATCTTATGTTAGATTTTACTAAGAATTACTATCAACACTTTTTACCAGCACGAATGTAATATATATATATATATATATATATATTTATTGATTTATTTATATTATTTTATATTATTTATTTTTATTTAGATTATTTTATATATTCTTTTCTTTATAATATAATTGTTTATATATTACTATAGTTAGAGTACTAAATACCAAATTATACTGTATTCGAAAGAAAATACAGGCAATACTTTTTCAACTATAATGAAAAGATTTCACTAACATCGTCAATTGTCTCCATATCTTCAGTAACATCTTTAATTTTAGACTTTTGCCTGCAAAGTAAATCATTTCAATTAAATCGTTCTTTAAAATTATAATATAAATAAATATTACATTCTATGCCAAAGAAACTCCATAATTAGTACAAAAAGAGTAAGTATTATGCCGTATCCCATTGCAACTAATGCAAAGTAGCATTCTGTAAAACCTATACTAATGAAACTCATATGACCGTGACATACAGGCTTGCTTGTATATAATCGTTTCTCTTCTCGATATTTTAAACCACTTTCTCGTAAAATTAAAGCACTAGAAGAGAATATATTTATCATAATATATAAACATTAGATTTTTTTTAATACGTATATTTTAGAAACGTTTGTACCTATTTTTTAAAATTTCCAAATATGGAGACTGTGTCTGAATGATGAAAAGTGGATAAAGTACATTCAAAAAGTCAATATTAGTTAAACCACATTTTTCTTCTTCTTGAAAAGTATCTTGCATTATTTTATAAATGGTACCAACTTCACCGTGAAAAGCAAAAAGTTCTTCTCTAATTTTTTTAACACCTTGTTCGATAGGCATCCAAGAAGATTTTTTACCTCGTGGCTCAATCTTTTCATCTATTACTGCTCTTCTTATTGGATCATTAAAAGACTATTATATATAATAATAAAATAAAATAAATGTATGACTGATTCGCATTATGTTATATATTAAGTTTATTTTGAAAACTAAGCAAATATTTTAAATACTCACTTTAAAATAATATCTATTATATATAACATCCTGTGCACCTAGTTTTAATGGGCTATTATAAAGATCAGTAATAGTTTGAATTGAATTAGTCGTCGATTGAAGCAAAGCAACGATATTTGCTGTGTAGGAAGCATAAAGACTCAACGCAGTTATCAATAACATTAAAGTTACTATACGTGAAGGAACTCGATATGGTTCATAAGAATATCCTACAACATTGAAATTATTGAAAATAATAAGATAATTAATACATGAAGAATAAACACACCTTGTTGGAAAAATGCTCCTAGAATAACTAAAATATCATCGCTAACGGTTGGTTCTCCAGGATTCATCTGTTTCCAATACATTGCAGACTTAGCTGAAGCTCCGCAATGATACTCCCATTTCATAGATATAAAAAGTAAAATGGTAACAAGAACAATCAAGACAACGATAGCTATCCAAACTGATTGATGAAAAGGCAGGACAAATATATTGCTTACTGTTGAAAGTAATGGTTGACGAAACACAAAACGTGATCTATATTTTTAAAAATAAAACAAAAATAAATTAAAATAAATATTTAGCATTATTGTGGATATAAGTAATTCTCTTTCGTTTTTTTAAATATTTTAATTAATTAATGTGATTAATTTTACTCTTTATACATGCGTGCATAAATGTATTGTCTATCATCAAATATTAGTATCATAGGATCATTGCTCAAAGTCCGAAACGAAGCGCGTATCTTATGGCTGACACAAAACACGGATCTAACCCGGAACCAATTTTACAATATTAGGCAAGCGACGCATAATTTAATTAAGAACAAGAAGCGACAATTTTTAAAACAAAAAATTGAGGAAATTGATGAAAATTGTCAAAGCAGTAACGTCCGTGGTATGTACGCGGGAATAAATARATAGGATAAATAGAAGGGATTCCAAGCTAAGACGGATCTAGTGAAAGATGCGAACAACAATTTAGTTTCGGATACAACGGGAATATTGAACACGTGGAAAAGACCACTAGGTAGGAAAACCGAGACGTAGATGGGAGGATAATATTAGAAAGGATCTGAAAGAAATAGGATACGAAGACCGAGAATGGAAGGATCGCGCTCAGGGTCGGGAACAATGGCGGGATTTGGTATTTGTGGCAATGAACTTTCGAGTTCCTAATGCCAATTAATAATAATAATAATAATAATAATAATAATAATAATAATAAGGATCATTGCTAGGTAGCATTGGTAGTGTATAAATATCTCACAAGATTTGAAATTTGATAAATGTGAAAATATCTTACCCAGTATGCGTGTAGAGTTGTATATATTTAACTATTCCTATTCGTTCTTTAACAAAAAAAGTAGCAGTTCCTCCAAAATCAATTTCCCGACGTTGCAACATGCCGGTCATGCCATTCCACGATCCATTTTCATTACGATAACCCCATGAATTTGTTATATTAAAAGTAACTCTGAAATGAAAAAGATGTAAAATTATTATATTATATAATTGTGAAAAATGAATCGTTTTTTTTTGAAAGTGATCCTAAGTCTATTTTCAAAAAAAAATCGAGTTAGCTATCATATTGTAATATTTACATTTTTACATGATTTTTGTATTCTGTGAGAAGATACTTGTTACTAATATATTTAAATTCATTAAGATTAGATAATACGAAAATTTAATGAAATGATGAAAAATTTAGTTTGAAAGTGGCCCAAGTCCAATAATAGCTATTACAAATATACTCTTTCCTTAATACTGTTAATTATACTAATTGGGATGATAAATTTGACACCTTTAGAAACCGAAAAACATTATTCTATGATATATGACATTTGTTATTTATGTTTTTAAATTAAATTCAACGCAAATCCTTCAATATCTCGATTCGAATATTAATAGACATTAATAGACACTTTCAAAATAAACGGCTCATATATTTTACTTTTTATTTTGTTTTTCATTTGGATATTTTCATTTTTTATTTATAAAATTTGCATTACTTACGTTGCATTCATTCGATTTACCAGATGAAAAACCCATGGATAACCAGCCTTCGTAACTGGATCTATATGTTTATCGTGATAATCAGTTAAATGATTGATCGTGTTTGGATTTGTCATCTGTTAAAATAATGCAGTTATTTATTTCCTTTTCTTTTATTTTGTCTTGTTGTGAAACAAGTATATTTAAAAATGTCAATATAACTAAGGCAATAAATAAAAGCAGTAAATATCGGATAAATTTATTATAATTAAAATACAATTAAATGATTGCAAGTAATCTAGTATGTGTTAATTGAATTTAGGGTAAGCTCAACACGAAGATATCACTTGATATTTCAAATAAGTTCAATAAGTATATCCACTTGCGAGATATCTTTCGATAAGAATATTGTACAACATTCGACATAGATAGATTTAGAAATAACTCTTCTCTTTATTTTTCCTTCACTTAAGACAGAATTAAATATTTCAGAAATAGATTTTTCTCTCTTGGTAATTATTTCACTTGTATTTCACATTTTCACATTGGTCTTGAAATACGAGATAAATTTAATTGATTGTTTATCGTGCATAAAATTGAAAGACAAAATTAAAATATTACCACAATACAGGATTTGAGTGGTGTAAGTTGAAGATTTTTTCGTCTACGGGATGCTACGTGATAATTTTTCATAAGAATTCCACGTGTCAAGGACCAATTACCACGATCCTCCAAAATGACATTTCGATATGGACTAGGACGATATATTGAAAGTAGTTGGACAAAATCATTTTGAATCATCTGTGCTAAAACAACGTCACTGTCAGGATAAGCAGTAAGATTTTGAAATATTGTTTTTATCAATTGAAGATCATTCGAATTTGAAGAGATTGTTCTTGAATCTTGTAAAAGTAACCATTTTGTAGGAGCAACAAACATTCTCTTCGAATCAGCCTAAATAAAAAATCCAAGTTTTATTCGATCCATAATTTTAATCTGAAAGTAATAAATAATATCTCCTTTTATGCGTTTTACCTCTTTTAAGATGTCAATCGCATAATCGCAATCGAGATCGATGACGTACAAATTTCTATGTTCTAAATTATCGAATATTTGAGGATCTAATTGACGATTGTACGTATTTTGGATATCATGTGACAAATGTTTCTTCGACATTTCCTTCGATAAACCGATCATATCATCTACTTTTTTAATTTAATGATAAAGTATTTATTCAATAAGATAACAAATTCGATAATATATTACGAGATAACAGATATATATATCTATAAGTATGTATATATTGTATAAACGTTCTATTAATAAATAATACAATACCTTTGCGAAAACACAAACTAACAGATATTCTTGATGGTGGAAATAAATGAAAGGTCGAATCAACGAGGAGTTTCACTAGAATATCGTTTTTCTTCCAAATAGAAAATTTGAAAGGCTCTATGGCATAAGAATGAGATATAAGAATGAATAGAACGAGTAAGAACATTGTCTTGTCCTTCGAATGCGTACAATTTCCTTGAGAAATCGTAAAATATCGGTGTATAAACTATAGTAATATGTCATAAATGGCGAGGACGCGAAGCGTTTACGTACAATTAACATGAAATACAATAAAAAAAGTTAACGTTCTATACTAATGTTAGTCCTCGAAGTCACGAAAAAACGATCTGTCTTTCTAAGAGGTCGAGAAAGTTAAATGTTATAGCGAAAAGAATGATATCATAGCAAGGTAAATCTCTTACCTATCATTTCTTTCTTTCTTTCTTGTCTTTTTATGTTTGTCTTCTTTTACAAAATAGCTATTTCATTACACTGTTATTATGTCCCAGACTTAGCAAATGATAATCTCATCAAATAGACGATTTCGTTTTAACGATTCAGATAGATATATCATGTAGATAGATTTACTAGTTTTAACAGAAGGATTCCAGCTGCGTTAGTTCGCATGGCGGAAAAGCTAATAATTTTTATATTAGTTCCATAAGTACTCTTTTCTTCGAACTAATACTTACGTATCATCAAGTACTAAATGCACGTGTCATTTTATTATTTCGGATAAAATATTTCCTTCGCAGAAACTAGTTGGAAGACATAAGAAAATCACTGATTTGCAAAAGACTCGATTCGCAATAAATTACCGTATACTTACTTTCACTGCGCACCATAGTATTCTTTGTCTCTTGTGGTATATTTTTCTTTTCATTTCTTTTTATTTCTTTTTTTGTGTCTCTACGTAATAACACATTTCTCATAAGACGAACTATCTATCGTGTAATATAGAGATACAGGAATAAGATGATTTATAAAATTTTCTACTATTTCAAACACGTACAAACACACAGACGATTACACAGAGATAGAGCGTCTAAATACACGCAGAGAGAGGTAAAAAAGGCAAGATTATCGTATCTGCAAATACCATTCTTAATTAAAGACGACGATGATAATCATAAAATGATTAAATATTAACAGTTATATTCCATACGGGTGTAGAAATAAGGTACGTGAAAGTATGAGTAGAAATGAATTAGCATGATAGAAAGCACGAAATATTACATTTCCTATCATTTCTATTTTAGTCTCTAAAAATATGCTACCTCGCAATGATTATACAATCTTTTTTCTTTTTTCTTTTTCGTTTCACTTTTATTACTTCGATACATATACATGTATAACATATATATATATATATATATTATTTATCGAGTTAACAATTATTGCAGCTTGTAAAAGGATTATTCGTACTTTTTGACACGTTAATATCACGTAATCGGAGAATTTTCTACTTTCGAAGAGGGAACAGGGTTAAAAGGAAGGAGAAATCGGTCACTTGTGAAATGAGAATCGTTATCGACGTATAATTTAATCATTCCGTTAATTGTTATACTTTGATTATTCCGTTTCAAAAAACGATCTTAACAATATAATAATGACAAGAAGACAAATATTCGAGAATAATGATATCTTAAATATTTACTTTTTTATTTATATTCAATATTTAACGAGTTTACAAAATAGCTTATTGTATTTTTCAGTTTTGTGTTTCATCATTTTTCCTACATTCGCTAAAATTTGTATAGTTTGCTTATAACGTCAAGGTTGCACTTCTATGTTATATCATTCGTAAAATTAGAAAAGTAAAGCTTACAAGAATTATTGTCGAACGTTCTCGGTCGAATCTCGTGATTACTCGGTGATTGGCACGTGAGCTGAGCTTACTGAAGATTCTTATCATTGTTTGTTCACGAGAGTGAATTATCGAGTTAATAACATCTTTTACAAAGGAAGTTATTGTATCTTATTGTTTTCAAGTTTTGTATATTAATCTTTTTATTTTACTTTCGATTAAAATCCATAAAATCACTCGTTTGAGCCAATCGTATTATGAACTATTCGATTGATAAATTTAGAAATTTATCGAGTGCAGTTCGCAATTGATATTCTAATATTTCACACAGTGACATATTTCATACAAGTTTGAAGTTTTATTTTACCTATTCAACGTAGTTTCATTGTTCTAGTTTTTTTTACCGGTTTTTTCAATAGTCTTTTAACCTTTTAGGCACGGCTGAATTTTGCGCGGAGCTGTTTCTCTGTATGGCAGGGTTCAACAGACAATGTCGTTCTCTACGCGAGTACATTAAAATAAAGTATTTAATGATTAAATTATAATTTTTCTTTAAAATATATTGCATATACTTTAACTTTAACAATTTACTTTAATAATTAATAATACAATTAGGTATGATAAATTTTTAAAAATGTCATCCGCGAAAGTCACTATAGTGGCGCGTAGTGCCTAAGAGGTTAAATTTGTAATGAAAGATATTCAAAACTCTAACATTGTGCAATTCAAATAGTAACCGGAGAATAACAACAAAATTCGTGTTATATTTTTCGAAAATCGTAAAATGAATAATTCAATATTTTTTCGAAAAAATTATTTGCATAAATGTGTTTAATAAGTACATCTTATGAAATATTTAAGAATCCAACGTTATACAATCCGAATAATGGCGAGTAGTAAATAAGAATAAATAATTTTTTAAGTTTATTATTATATTATTATATTATTCTTTTTTCTAGTTCTTCTTTCAATCTACAACAAAAAAGAAAAAAAAATGATATTTTTTGCAAAAATGAGTGCTGATTGAATTTAGGAAATTCTGGACTAACGAAACAATGTTTCAATATTTATTTTTAAATTTAAAACAACAAATGTAAATTCCTATTTATATTAATTGCTTTGCGTTATTAAGAATATTTCAGATATTGGGGGATATACAAAATATGATAATGATCTATTTTTATCGCAACAATTACATATACATAAAGATCACGTAATTCGGTTAGCAAGGTTAATGATTATCATACAAATCCATCCATATATATATATTTTTATGTGTATGTGTGTGTATGCATTAAAATACGAGAGAATAAACGTAGGATATTGAAATACGAAAGGAAGAGAAAGCGTAATAATATGAAAAGCTGGATGGAAAGTGAAGAAGAAGACGATCATATTAAAAATATAAAGAAATAACATATCGAATTCGCGTATTCCTTGCGTAAAAAATATAAGAAAGAAAGAAAGAAAAATTCCATCGCGGATAGATAAACGCTGATATAAGGATTAAATTATTACATTTACAATCGTTTAAACGAAAGTGATAACAATTCCACTGTTTCTTTCGTTTTGCGATATTTTCAATTTTACAAAAAATTAAATAATACCATGCATGCACTAGAATAAATACCTCTGGATTTTATTTTATTTCGTTTATTTATTTTTTTTTTCTTCTCATCAATAATAATAATAATTAATACAAAAAATATCGAACATACAGGTGCATATAAAAATATGTTGCTTTTGTTTTTATATATTTTCTCGTCGACATTAATTACAACTGACATAAAAAAAAAAATAAAAAAAACAATCGAATTTACTTTGATTTGTTTTTTTAATTTTTATTTCTCGTTAGTAAAAATTATTATAAAAATTACTTCGACGTATATAAAAAAGAGAAATAGAAATAAGAAATGAGAACAATAATGTCGAATGTATGTAATTCGTGGTAGCAACTAAGGACTACCATGCATGTATGTGTATATTCTTGAGTATAGAATCGTACCGGTTTGTCGACCTACTATCGAACGAACGAGAGCTATGCCACCGTAGACTTTCGAAGAGTCTACTGATGAGGAGAGGAATACACGTTAGGAATAAAGGGAATAAAGAACGTTGGTGGAGTCATTATTTCATGTAGTTGTTAGTTCATTAAATGATACTTCGTGCTTCGAATAAATAAGAAGAAGAAGAAGCTTGTGAAAAGTCGAATGATTCTATCAAGTTTAAATACCTACAAACATACATACATTTATGATTTTAATTATATGTACATACATATATGCATAAATTTATGTGTAGGTGTGCGATGTGTTTACATAATTATATGTGTGCGTATCACGTAGCTTCTTTCCTCTTTGCACGTATCGTTTTACACCGACGAGACGTATTACTTACTAATACGATAATGTGACTTAAGTGTTGGTTAAATTTTAAAACTTTGTCCCCTTACCTCTTCTAATTTTTTGTCTACAACTTACTCTCCGTAGTATAAAATCGCTCGAGAGTCCAACGATCGTACTCAATTGCGAGAACAATGCTTTACGCGATTTCATAGAACACAACGTTCCAATTGCATATTATATGTATATCAGAAAAGAAAATCACTTAATATGACGAGATAAAACACGTTTTCGAATCAACAATTCACTTTGTCATTTTTATTTTTCCTTTTTTTCTCTAGAACACAATGTTTTTCTCTAAGAATTCACGTGTCGATAAATATGATATATATATGCTCACATCGTACTAAGCCGTACGTATATACGTGCTAAGCCGCAATTACGTATTACTTCAATATTACTTTCTTTTTATTTATGTTATTTATTTAAAAATTAGTGAGATTCTATTGCATCAATTAATAACGTAAATTAGCAATAAACTTTGTTCAAAGGTTAATTCCAATTACCTTTTATAATCCATTAAAACTTTCCTTTCGATAAAACTATTGAAAAGAAGAAAAATTCAAGTCAAAAACTTGCGCGACGAATGCAACATTTAATCGAAAAACAAATAACGAGAGGAAATGAAATAAAGATTTAGATAAAACGTCTTATTATTTATCTCTAACCGTCTCTTATTCTTCTTCGTCAAGAAGATCCCAGTATAAATGAAATCAACGAACAAACGAAAGAACAAATAAAATGAAAAATTTGCTAGTGATTCGTTCTTTAAATATGAACAAAATCGAATCGTTTGCGATTATTTAAAGTTGTTTAACATTGAAATTTTGTTTACTGCAATTCGTTATCAAAAACAATAGTATTGTTATTCATGAACAAGAAAAAATAAAAGAAACAAAATGTATTTTTGAAATATTGTAGTAATTGTGGAGGAAAAAGATTGTGTAGAAAATTTAATGAGAGTTCGAGATTGACAAAAAAATGTTTTCATATAATCGATTTCCACGAAACGTTCGTTCTTTGATATTTTGTGTTGTTGTTCCCCCAATTATAGGTAGACCCACGAAATCACCGTAAATTATGAAAAAAAGAAGAACAAAATTTTTAAGTAAAAGAGAAGAGAGAAAAATAAAAAGGTGTACGATATATGTATAAGTGAAAGAGTAGTAGGGATACCGGCGAACGGGGAACTCGCGTTCCAATTGGCCAACGGAAGCTAGGTGTTCGCCGCTAAGTGTCGCGGGTCTGAGCGTGCTTCGAACAGTGTATGAGAACAAGTCGGAACGGAAACTTAAACATAAGCCTACTATTATTACTACTACTACAACCTATAGTAATATCTATACACACATAATATCTATAGCAGTGCTAATCAAATCTAACAATAAATCGTCGAATCGACCGGACCACTTCCCCTCGCGAGAGAATTAACATCAATTCGCGATTTATATACTCTACGCAAACAAAATAAAATCATCCTATTAACGTATTAAGATATCCGAATATCGAAATCGATTCAAGTACGGTATTGAGTTTTTAAAAAATGGTGGAAAATGGTATCGATCGGAAGAAGTCGGAGATCAAGAAACCGGAAATCTATGAAACGGAAGTCAATGTACCAAAAGGTAAACAAATCGCTATGTTTTTTTTTCTTTTCCTTCAACTCAAATCAACTGGATTTAATCGATTCAAAATTTATAAAAATATTTTATAAATAAAACAACTTTATACATTTAGATATTTTAGTTTAAATTTATATACAAAAACATACACAAATACTCTCATCTTGTTTATATGATATAATATCTACAGTACGTCGATTGAATTATCTTCTTACTTCGACAAGTAATTTCACCAATTATTAGTCTATATACATCAATTAAAAGTTAAATAAGATATATTCTTTTATTATTATCATAACATATACATATATATATATATATATATATATATATACTCTGAAATGAAGAAACCAAATTTTTATATTTTTAAACATTAACGATTGATACAAATTAAGTTTTTCTTTGTATCTTATATTATCGTCACTTACCATT